CCCTGTGTATGCCTGAGATCAAATATATTCTCACCCTTCTTTCCTTATGAATAACTCTAACTGTTTGTTTAAATCACCTTCCAATCCAAATCATTTTTGGTACGCGTAACATTTTATTTTCGTTTTATATTTATTTTTTCACGTCATTTTATTGTTATTCAACAACGGCTTTACAATCCCGTATCGAAAATAATGAATAAATAATTCGTGAGATTAGGTAATGTATCTCACAAAAAAAAATATTCGTCGCAAATTTGATACCTAGCGGTGTTTGTTCCTTGATCCCATATTTCTGTTTACTTGACGTGAAATAAAACCGTCACGATTGCCTTTACCGTTCAAATTTATGTATTTACCTGTCTTTTCAGATATCTAATCGAGATTAAAACGATGTCCTTTACTTTTCTTTTCTTTACCTTTGTGGTAGGCGATGACGTCGAAGAGATCACTAATGTGTTGAGGAGTGATCACTTCCTGATGTATGGGACGTGCATACGGAACCCCATCAGTAACCATCGCGTTCTCTTGCATGCTCTCCACGACGAATATATCGTTCAATCGCAATTCAGGTACTATCTGAATTTCATAATTTCAATGTCATCATTAGTTGTCAAACTGAAAATTATATCTAGACTTGGTAGACAGTAATAATTGTAGAATATTTGATTTTCACAAGTCGCCCTTTAAACGATAGTAAATGACCTTTCTGTTCACGTCACAATTTCTACTTATTGGCTTTTTTCACTATAATTTTAGTACGACAGCCATATCGAGAAATGACATCTTATTGTGTTCACAAATAAAAACTGACAAAAACGACAAAAATGTCAAGCTGCGCTATTAAAAGTCGTTAATACTGAAAAATTAAATATTTCCCGTCATCAATTTCCAAAGAATCAAGTGTTTGCAAAACAACTAGTGTGATGCTTGTGGCCGCGAAAGAACGTCAATTTAAAAGCTGCTAAGTTTTAAGAGTGTTATGAAATTTCTAAACAAATTTACAAATTGTAATTTAGACTTTTTAAGTTTAAAACTAATTTTCGTTTTCAATGTTCTCTAACTTTCCTCCTTTTAACGCAAAAATACAATTAATGAATGAGACAATATGGCCGTTACAAGGAAGGGCATGTGACTGAAAGTTCCAATCAGTTAGGTAATAAGACATTTTGGCATGAGATTTGTCATGTTTTTCCCCATGATAGCAATAGCTGAATAAACAAATGACACTGCCCCAACATTTATAAATTCCATATCAAAGAACATAGTGGTAAAGGTTTGTTTTAAGAAGTTAAATAAAAGTATTTACTTTGTGAGTAATGATGTACTGGAAATAGGTGGCGAATGCCTCGTTCAACCAAAGATACTTCCACCATTTTGGGGTGACGAGATTACCGAACCATTGATGAGTGAACTCGTGAGCGATGACCGTGAGTACAGTCAGCTTCGAGCGGATTGTGAAGAAAGTCTTGTCGTAAAGAAGAGTTTCCTCTCTGAAATTGAAATACGAGTTCAGAGGTGTCCAAGCCTCATTGTTAACGACTAGATTCAGCGAAAAATGACCACTGTAACATCTACACTTTTTATCTAAAACAGTATTACATTAAAAGATTTTATTATTTGAATAATATATTTCCTTTTATAATACTGTAAGTAAATGCACCAGCCGTTTTTGTACAGGGTGTCCCAGAAAAAGTGTTAGAGCTGAAAAGGGGTAATTCTGGAGGTGTTTCTAAACAACAATTTCCTTTGGTAAAATGCAAAGCGAGCCATGGTTTTGAACTATTAACGAAAAACACTGGCCAAGGAGAGTACGCGTAGGGTCCGCGCCGCGTTACGGGTAGGTTGGCTCGGATCGTAACGCTCGGCCGTGGCTTAGCGCTGGTCCTACACGCGCTCTTATTGGTCAGTGTTTTTCGTTAATAATTTAAACATGCCGCACTTTATATTTTGGCAAAGAAAATTTTTGTTCAGAAACGTTTGCAGAATCACATTTCTTCAGCTCTAACATATTATCTGGGACACCGTGTATTTAGACATTTGCTTGTCTAGAATGAAATCTATTTAACGACTTAGTATGATATGAGCATAATACTTAGAATGTTACATTACAAGTAAATACTAAAATCTTGAAAACTGAAAATATCAACCACTATTAATACTGCAGAGTTTTATGCAAAATAGAACATTTGCCTTGGCAATTGAAACAATGAAATCTACTTAATTTTTTTAGGTGTGCATCAAATCCGCTGTCTGTTAATGACTATAAATGAGCATCCCGCGATTCGATCGAACAATTTGATCGAGTGATTCATTACAAAGAGCGGAGAATCGCAACTATTTTTTTAATTCGATTCTACGTGTTCCCTTATCTTTGTATCGCGAACTCTCGTTGATCGTTAATCCCATCGAGAAAGCAATCTCTACTTCGAACGTTCGAACCGATCCCCTTACCTATAAATCAAGAGGCCCCAATTCTCCATAGCGCCGGCCAAGAAATCCTTCTGCGAGATTTGATCTATTTTGTCTGGCATGTATGTCTGGTATGAAATATTCGTGTACAAGTTCAGCTGTTCCAGAAGCTTCCTACCCATTGTCAAAGCGTAGTCAACCCAGTCTATTGCGCTCTTTTTCGTCCACACCCTATAGGTGAAGTTGCCGACTTTATCTTCCTTAAATTGATATTCGCTTACCACGAATGCTACCAAATAAGTAGACATCAGTGGGGTTTCTTTGAAAAAAGTAGTCATCATCCCATCATTTTCTTCTTCTTTCAGTACGTCCGTATTAGAAATCGCTCGAAATGTCTTATTGTATGTCAAACTAATGTTGAATTTCGCCTTGTAGATGGGCTCGTCCCAACATGGGAACGCTAGTCGAGCATACGTCGGTTCGAAATGAGTCGTTGCTGCGTACCCGCTAGAGTGGAACAAAAATTGGATTTTACTTAATTCGCACGGAGACAGATAGTAATTTGTCAAAAAAGAGATCAGAACTTTATGTAATGTAACTAATTAATTATCTGTCGTCTGCGACGTTGGATAAGACGCTTAAGTCCATCAAAATGGAAATTAATTGAGTATTCGAAAAATGGTTTGAATTGACATTTTAAAAGATTCAAGGAGTATCTGGCAAAATCTAAGTAAATTAGAAACAGACATTTCTTGATGTCACAACTTTATAAATACAGTAGGTTCCATCTATATTCGTACCTATTTCAGAATTGAATAAGTTTCTTAATATTAGGATAAACAACTTAGTATTTTTTCGTTAGTTTGCTATATAAGATAAATAATCTGGTTTCTATTCAAGTCCCAACATCTACTGACTGGTGTATCCTTATATGTATACTTCTATGTGTGACCTTAAATTTCCTTTTATTTATTCTGTTATCATTTTTCGTGGAGATTTTCACGAACGTTTTGTTACACATTAAAGTAAATGTTTCAATTTCTACTCACTATTTTTCTATAATTTTAAACGTATTTTAAAATGATAGAAACATAAGCCAGTGAGTACAAGTTAGAACGTGAACAAAAATTGAGACATTTACCTGGCTTAATGTGTAACGAAAAATTGCTATTCGTCGGAGTCTCCACGAAAATTTTGAATCATACTTTTTGTACTTTTGTTATGAAATGTACTATTTGTGGCCACTATGAGACCAAAGGTGATACAATTGCATTTCCGTTGTATCATTTTTGTCCAGTATCTAATTTCGACATTACCTAAGATTATATCGTTAATGTTCTTACACAATTCTTAGCAATATGTGGTACGTGAAGCAAATACGTAAAAAACTTAGTTTACACTGTTATAAAATACGGTAATTAATGGTTTCCTTATTAGTCATCCGTTAAACACTATTATTAAGAATATAAGGAGCTAACGAAAATGAGTACGATTATATCCGTTTTTTAATTAAAAAAAATAGTGCAGCAGTAAGAATCGATGTACAATAATGTCAAGTTACCCCGCTTCTGCAGATCTATTCATTTTAATCAAACTAACACTAGAACACTTAATACAGGGTGAGCCGGAAATCATAGTACAATGGGAAAAGGAGATGATTTTACATTAAAAAAGAAGAAAATATTTTGATACAACATTTTTTCATCCGAAGCTCCATTTTCGTGAAAATCGACTTCAAATTTTGTTTAACTTGTAAACGATTTATACTTG